GTCCACCACCACCACCACCCACTCGCTACCACCCACCACTCGCCATCGTCACCCACCCATCCGCCATCCACCTGCTACCACCACCACCACCACCACCCACTCGCTACCACCCACCACTCGCCATCGTCACCCACCCATCCGCCACCCACCTGCTACCACCACCACCACCACCACCCACTCGCTACCACCCACCACTCGCCATCGTCACCTACCCACCCGCCACCATCTACCACCACCAGCTACCCACCACCCATCGTCACCACTTTCCACCACCGTCTTCCGCCGCCACTTGTCACCACTTGCTATTTCTCACTCTTTTTTATATTTTTTAATTTTTTTAAACATTTTGTTAATTACCAAACGAATTTGTAGTTTATGTTTTTCTAAAAATAAATAATAAATAAATAAAAATTAATTTATAAAATTTTTATAAATATAAATTAAAAACGTAAACGTTACCAAACACATCAGAAGTATACTAATTTTTACAAATCTGATATCACGGACGGAAAAGAATCCATACCGTTAATATTAGTCGTTCAGACTGTAGAAAATATAAACAAAAGAACAACTCATCAGTCTTGAGTGACAAGTCGATGTCAAAGAAGAAGAAGAAGGAAACCAGTGTGTGACGCTTCAGCAGAGAAAAAACACAACAAAACAGACTAGTGTTTTGCTATCTTCAAATCAATCATCCTATTAATGCGCTACCAAGTCAAACTCACGCGATGCGACTCCTTTTTTATCATCATCGTTCTTGACTCCCATTTTCAATCAACCAATCCTCCAAAATTTTCATCACCACCACCACCATGCCCTCTCGCCAATTTCCGCCACAACTGCCGCCTCCGCCGCCTCACCACTCCCTCCTCCTTCCCATCTCCGGCAGCATCTCCGCCGCCTTCTCCATCCTCCTCCTCCTCACCTTCTGCTTCCGCAAACTCACCAAAAAGCGCACCGTCGTTTCCGATTCCAAACCCCCTCACCGCTTCTCTTACTCCGCCCTCCGCCGCTCCACCTCCTCCTTCTCCCCCTCCCGCCTCCTCGGCCACGGCGGCTCTGGCTCCGTCTACCGCGGAACCCTCAAAAACCCTAGCAAAGACCTCGCCGTCAAAGTCATGGACGTTGGCTCTCTTCAAGGCGAGCGCGAGTACCAAAACGAACTCTCTTTTGCTGGAAAATTGGATTCTGATTACATCCTCTCCGCCATCGGATTCTCCTCCGATCAGAAGCGACGCCGTATGGTACTGGTCTACGAGCTCATGAATAATGGAAGCTTGCAAGATTGCTTGTTCCATCGCAAGTGTTCGGAGCTCATGGAGTGGAAGAAGCGGTTCGAAATCGCAATCGAGATCGCGAGTCAAAGTCATGGACGTTGGCTCTCTCCAAGGCGAGCGCGAGTACCAAAACGAACTCTCTTTTGCTGGAAAATTGGATTCTGACTACATCGTCTCCGCCATCGGATTCTCCTCCGATCAGAAGCGACGCCGTATGGTACTGGTCTACGAGCTCATGAATAATGGAAGCTTGCAAGATTGCTTGTTCCATCGCAAGTGTTCGGAGCTCATGGAGTGGAAGAAGCGGTTCGAAATCGCAATCGAGATCGCGAAAGGGTTGGAGTATCTCCACCATGATTGTGATCCCGCGGTGATTCACGGCGATGTAAAACCTAGTAATATTCTGTTGGATTTGAATTTCAATGCCAAAATTGGGGATTTTGGGTTGGCGAGGTTAAAATCGGAAGATCAGTGTGAGATTGCAGTAGCAAATGGTGGATTGGATGGACGGGATGAGGACAATGGGTCTATTGGTTTTGATGAGTAGTAGCAAATGGTGGATTGGATGGACGGGATGAGGACAATGGGTCTATTGGTTTTGATGAGTCTAATTCTGGTCCAAACCAGTCGCCGGAGAGTTTTGTTAGGCTTTCAGTCTCAGAGAAGTCGCCTGAGATGGTTTTGGGGGTCAAGTCATCGCCACCGGAGACTGTGGAGAAGAGTCTTTCGAGGAAGGATTGGTGGTGGAAACAGGATAATGGTAGTAGGGCAGAGTCTGGGGTTGTGAAGGACTATGTGATGGAGTGGATTGGCAATGAGATCAAGAAGGAGAGGCCGAAAAGTGAATGGATTGGAGCTTCTTCGAGTTCAGGACAAAATGGAAAAAAATCGGAGAGAAAGAAGAGTAGAAAACGATTGGATTGGTGGACTACGATGGATGATGACAAGAATGTGAAGAAGAAAGAGAAGCGGAGACCGGCAAGGGAGTGGTGGAAGGAGGAGTATTGTGAAGAACTCGAGAAAAAGAAAAAGAAGAAGCAGAAACATGAGCAGGGGTCGATAAATGATGCCAATAATAGTGAAAATTGGTGGCCAATGGAGGAGGAATTGAATGCCGATAGAAAGAAGAAGAAGAAGAGGAGTAGGAACAGTAGTCCCCGGAGTAGTGTGGATTGGTGGTTGGATGGGCTGAGCGCTGAGCTTGGGAGAGCTCGTCGCAACAGCCATGGCTCTGCTAGTGGAGAGATGGCTAAAAGTGGTGGTTGTAGTAGCACACCAAGTACCAGAGGAACTGTTTGTTATATTGCCCCCGAGTATGGTTGTGGCGGTGAAATCTCGGAGAAATGTGATGTTTATAGCTTTGGGGTTTTATTGCTAGTTCTAGTTTCTGGGCGACGTCCACTTCAGGTCACCGGTTCACCCATTTCAGAATTCAAACGCGCCAATCTTCTATCTTGGGCTCGGAACCTTGCTCGTGCAGGGAAGCTTCTTGATTTAGTAGATCAGTCTATTCAAATTTTGGATAAACGGAACCTTGCTCGTGCAGGGAAGCTTCTTGATTTAGTAGATCAGTCTATTCAAATTTTGGATAAAAAACAAGCCTTGTTATGCCTTACTGTTGCAATGCTCTGCATTCAGAAGTTGCCTGCTCGCCGGCCTTCTATGAAGGAAGTGGTGGGAATGCTTTCTGGGGAGTTAGACTCTCCCCAGCTACCGGTTGAATTTTCCCCTTCACCTCCCTCTCAGGTTCCATTTAAGTCAAATAAGAAGGGACCGGTGAGTTTCTAATGTTGGGTGCAATTTTCATGATCAATACAATAGTATAGATCATTGTTTCATCATCTTTGTGGATGATTGCTGTAAAAAACAATATATATATATATATATACTTATTTCACTTCTTGGGTCTATACCAGTGTGGCTACTATAATTCAAGATGATTATTTTGTATTGCACCTGTTAGAAGGCAAATCAACGACCTTGGCCCCATTTCATTTTCTCTTACAATGAGTTTTAAGAATTCCAGCATTAGTCGGATCCCAATTTAAATAGCAGCACATGGTTTTCGTTGTTGGGAATCTAAATGAGTAAATCTAATTGGTGTCATTGGAAGAGAAGAGTCAGGCTAGGCATTGTCATCCCTACGTGTTTGCTACTTTCTAGGAGTTGACTAGATTTTACAGGAATGCAATCCTATGCACAGGTATAGGAGAAAAAATATATTCAAGTTGTCCATGGTTTAAGTGTTAATATCGGCCTTGCTAATTCCATTGGCGAGAACAATACAAATTTGGATGATATCAACATATGAAAATAGCACATTGTGATACATCGAGCAAAAAAAAAAAAAAAAAAAACAGCACATTTTGATACTAGTCAGTCTGCCAGAACAATGGCTGGGCAAGGTATGAAGTTATTGTCATATTACATAATCATTCATCTAAATTTGATATATGTTTGTATGCACAAAGAGGTAGAGTGCAGAAAGCAAATTGATTTCAGGGTAGCGGTTCCATTTTAAGTTAATTCTTGAAACATTGCAGAGTTTTCTAGAGGTTTGGACTGCTTCTGGAACTCTGGTTTGGAGAGAATTACTGGATGGTTTTGTTGGCACACATTCTAAATTCCTATACCACTTGACAAGCTTTAATTTTCCATTCTTGTGAATTGAAATACTACTTGTGTTGAAAACTTGAAAGATAAATTTCAATTTGTTTCTCTTCCATGAACACTTCACGCGGGGAGGAAGGTTTAAAACAAAAGAGGACATTTATATGACAGGAAAACCAAAGTTCAGATAGGAAAAGTGATAGCATACATTTTCAGATGTCATGGTCAGGGTAGCGGTTCTATTTTAAGTTAATTCTTGAAACATGGAGAGTTTTCTAGAGGTTTGGACTGCTTCTGGAACTCTGGTTTGGAGAGAATTACTGGATGGTTTTGTTGGCACACATTCTAATTTCCTATACCATTTGACAAGCTTTAATTTTCCATTCTTGTGAATTGAAATACTACTTGTGTTGAAAACTTGAAAGATAAATTTCAATTTGTTTCTCTTCCATGAACACTTCACGCGGGGAGGAAGGTTTAAAACAAAAGAGGACATTTATATGACAGGAAAACCAAAGTTCAGATAGGAAAAGTGATAGCATACATTTTCAGATGTCATCGTATTGGCACATTCTCATCAGTCTGTGAAAGTGAGAAGTGATAGCATACAGTTTCAAATGTCATTGTATTGACTCATTCTCATCAGTCTGTGAAAGTGTTAAACTCTAATATGGTGGAGCAGTTCTGCTGGAGACCCCAGCAGAACACGACCCCCAGCACCCTCACCTCCACGTGGGGGGCTGCCACTGGCTGAAACCAACCAAAAAAAAAAAAAAAACAGTTTTTTTAGCCAATTAGGAGAGACCCCCAGCACTCCCACTGGGGGTCTCATGCATTTTCCTATGGTGGAGAGTGATAAAGGAACCAAGCTTCTTTTGCTTTGGAAAAAGCCTAGGAGTACAGAAACTGATCACAGAACCCGATATAACAGGTGGGTCCCACTTTTTTTTGTGAATCTCACCTCTATATATGAGTTGTGTCTAGTTTTGTGATTAGTTTATGTACAAGGAGAAAAACTATTTACTTTGTGTCTTGTTCGTTGCTAATTTATTGTTTTTGGGATCTCCTTATCATGGAGCAGAGAGAAGAGACCATGCGAGCATTGCTTGGAGGACAACGAGGTGACTTTTACTATAAAGTACCATACTTGAAGATAGCCTTTCTAGTTTTGAGTTCAAAGTTTTGAGTTTTGTGCGTCGCATGTCGTATTTAAAACTTGCAGCAACCGAATTTGTGATCATAATAGTCACAAAGATTAAAAATGTAACCCAATTTGTTGCAAATTAAGAAATTTCCTCAAACGAAAGAGTAATACTAGAAATCACAAATGTTTTACCAAATATCTCACATGGGTGTAGGATCCACATGAGACTCACATCGTGTGGATCCCAAATCCATGTTACAGATTTGGTAGAAATGTTGGTAAAATATTTAGGGTCAAGATTTTTCCAAGCGAAAAGCATTCTCAGCTGAATCAATCTCTTGGGTGGAAACCTGTTATCGGATGAGACAATAATTAGGAATGGAAGGGTTTCATTGTTACATAAACCTGCCACCACTTTTTTCCTAGTACTTGTTCCAAAAGGTTCAATATCCATATTGCCTAGTCAATATTCTTGGCTGCAATTAATGGTGCTACAAGATTTAATCCTTGGTTTGTTGGGTATACCTCCTTATTAGAGTGTGAGACCTAATTGATTTATTAAAAAAGTTTAATTTGGTTTGATATTAGTTATAACATATTTTAATATATTATATCTAATTTGTAGAGACCCAATCCAATTTGATAATTTGATAAAAAAAGTTCAAGATTTAATAATCAACAATATATATATATATTGTTCCGAAGTGCTATGGCTGAGATATTGTTATTGTTTTCATTCATCCTCGGTGCGACTGCTGCATATTGTTATTGTTTTCATTCATCCTTGGTGCGGCTGCTGCATATTGATATATCAATTAAGTGGAAGAAAAGTTTGGGTCAGCTTCACTTATTTTGTCGATAAATTCGGCTGATTTGGTGGAGTTGTTTTGGGTGATTATTTTTGGGTCTTCTACAACTCTAGTTTTGAAAATTTTGGTTTATTTATTTGGTGAGATCTTTTCCCTTATTTATTTGTGATTATTTAGAATTCGGGTGGTTTGTGAGACCATTCGTGTCTTGTTTGTAATCGTTTGGAAACTATTTGGTTGATAGTGGAATCGGATTTCGATCCCGTGGACGTACCTCACATTGAGGGAACCACGTAAAAATTCTTGTGTTGTTTTTTATTTAATTTTTCCTCATTAGTTTTTATTCCCATTGATTGATTTACTTGTGGAGAATCACATATTTTCCCTAACAACTGGTATCAGAGCTTACGGTTTATTTAGGTCTATTTATTTGTGTAAATCAATGGAGAGGAATGTGGATTGTATGTCTAGCTTCAATGGAAGCAATTGGATAACTTGGAAAACTAAAATGGAGGACCTATTATTTTGTAAAGATTTATATGGACCCATTGAGGGTGATTCTGGCAAACCCAAGGGTATGAAAGATAATGAGTGGAAGAGGCTTAATCGAAAAGCCGTTGGTGTTATCCGTCAATAGATTGATGACAGTGTGTTTCATCATGTTGCTACTGAAATTTCGGCACATGATTTATGGAAAAAATTAGAGAGTCTTTATGACAGAAAATCAGTCACAAATAAAGCCTTTCTGTTTCGTAAGTTGGTTAATTTAAAATATAAAGATGGTAGCCCCATTCCAGAACATTTGAATGAAATAAAGAATATTGTTAACCAACTTGCTTCTATGAAAATTATTTTTGATGATGAGTTACAGGCTTTGATGCTACTTAGTTCTTTGCCCGAAAATTGGGAGACTTTGGTTGTGACCATTAGTAATTCGGCGCCTGATGGAGTTGTCACAATGAGCCAAGTCACTAATAGCCTGTTGAATGAAGAAACTAGAAGAAAATCAGTGGGTTCCTCTCATTCAGAAGCATTTGTTGTGAGAGGTTCTTTTTCAAAGAAAGACATTGAGTGCTATTATTGCCATGAGAAAGGGCACATGAAGTGAGAATGCCGAAAGCTCAAGAACAAGGAGAAAAGGCGTGACAAAAGTGTGGATAAGAAGCAAGAAAACACTACAGCAGTTACTATCGATGATCTCATGGTCATTCGTGAAGATGATTGTATCAATTTTGTGGGCCAAGAGAGCAATTGAGTGATTGATTCTAGTGCTTCTTTTCATGTGACTTCTCGAGTTGATTTCTTCACTACCTACACCGAAGGAGATTATGGTTTTATTCGAATGGGTAATGAAGGTTTGTCCAAGATTATTGGCATGGGTGATGTTTGCTTGGAAACAAATTTAGGCTGCAAGTTGTTGCTTAAAAATGTAAGGCATGTTCCCGACAGTCGCCTCAATTTGATCTCTACTGGGAAGCTAGATGATGAAGGCTTCAACAACAAATTTGGTGATGGAATATGGAAGCTCACAAAGGGTTCTTTGGTGGTGGCTAAGTGCAAGAAGACTCGTACACTTTATTTGATGCAAGGAAAAGTTTGTAAAGGTGTTGTCAATGCACTTCAAGATGATACTTCTACCGAATTGTGGCACAAGCGGCTTAGCCATATGAGTGAAAATGGGCTGCAAGTTTTGTTCAAGAAAGTGCTTCTATCCGGTTTGAAAGGTACACATCTTAAAACTTGTGTTCATTGTTTGGCGGGTAAACAACATAGAGTTTCTTTTCAGAAAAAATGTTGCTTCTAAAAAGGAAAATGTTTTGGAGTTGATTCATTCGGATGTTTGTGGTCCTTTGACAGTTAGAACACATAGTGGTGCACTTTATTTTGTTACTTTTATTGATGATTATTCAAGGAAAGTTTGGGTTTTTCTACTAAAAATTAAAGATCAAGTTCTAAAAGTATTTAAGCATTTTTCAGGCCATGGTTGAAAGAGAAACAGGGCAGAAATTGAAATGCATCCGATCAGACAATGGTGGTGAATACATTGGGCCATTTGATGAGTATTGTCGCAGCCAAGGTATTCGGCACCAAGAGACAGTTAAGAAGACTCCTCAACAAAATGGCGTTGCCAAGAGGATGAACCACACCATTGTGGAAAGAACAAGGTGTTTGCTTTCGCAAGCTAAATGCCCAAAATCCTTTTGGGGTGAGGCAATGAAGACAGC